CAGAGGCTCATCTAAATGTTGCAGGACGCCGGTTGGAGTTCAACACCCTGAGATGGAAACAAGTTTTCAGAATAAGTTCCACTGGTGGGTCTGTGCCTTACCAGAGCCACGACGTGTTTCTGAGATATGTTGTCCAGCTGCCTGAACGTTACAGCTGTTCATAACGTAACTGTTCTCTCTTTGAAAGTTCACATGACGACTGGATGGAAATGAATGAAGAGATCCGGAAACACATTCACACATCTGATGCTCAGAACAGAAATCCAGGTAAATCCGCCCAAACACCATACCAACTTTATTTATAAAGCTCTTTAAAACAACCACAGCTGAAACAAAGTGCTGCACATAAAATAGATAAAAACAAATACAGTTTAAACACAAACTTACAATATGAAACTAGATCTCACTGGAGTTGAAGGCCAAGTGAAATAAATGGGTTTTAAGATGAGCTTTAAAAGTGGACAGTGAAGGGGCCTCTGACCTGCAGGTCATCCATAACTTAGGACCCCGACAGAGAAAGCTCTGTCCCCTCTGAGCTTCCTTCTAGATCTCGGTTCCTCCAAGAGATCGATAAGGTATGTCAGGGTGAAGAAGCTCAGTGAGGTAAGCCGGGGCAAGATCATGCAGCGATTTCAAAACAAACATAGAAATTTTAAAACGGATCCTAAAATAAACAGGCAGCCAGTGAAGTGAAGCCAAGACAGGGTCACATGCTCTCTCTTTCCAGTTCCTGTCAAAAGTCTTGCAGCCGCATTCTGAAGCAGTTGCAGACGTGAGAGCAGTGACTGACTGACTCCCAGATATAGAGAGTTACAATAATCCAGTCGAGTCAAATAAAAGCATGGATCACTGTTTCAAAATGCTGCCTGGAAAGAAAAGATTTTACTGATGCCAATCGCCTTAAGTGATAAAAACTGGACTTAACCACAGGCTCTAATGTGGCTGTCCAATTTAAATCACTGTCCACCTTAAAACCAAGATCTGTAATAACAGGTTTAAAATAAACTGGTTTAAAATAAACAGGTTTAAAATGCACCTCCAAGGGTCAAAGGTCAACAGAGGAGGACTCACAGGAGCCACTGGGTCCGAACACCATCACCTCTGTTTTCTTTTCGTTAAAATGTAAAAAGTTCAAAGCCAACCAAGCTTTAACATCATCTAGACATGCCAGGAGATGTTTGATTGACTGGACATCTTTCTGCTTCAGGGGCAAATAAATCTGGCAATGAAATGAAATCCATGTTTGCTGAAGATAGAACCCACAGGCAGTAAATAAAGACAGAAAAGCAGTGGGCCCAGAACGGAGCCCTGTGGTACACCATATGACATTGAAGCAGTAGATGATTCAGAGTCTCTAATATTTACTGAAAATGTTCTGTCCTCCAGGTTGGACCTGAACCAATTAAGAACAGTGTCATCAATACCTACAATAAGCTGTAATCACGATATTAAAATGTCGTGGTCGGCTGTATTAAAGGCAGCAGTTTGGTCAAGTAAAATCAGAACATGATTACCAGAATCACATGCTGAAAGGATGTCATTAAAAACTCTTATTAAAGCAGATTCTGTGCTATGAAGAGTTTTAAAACCTGATTGGAAAACCTCCAGAATACCATCTTCATCTAAAAACTGTTTCAGCTGATGGTATACAATTGTTTCTAAAACCTTAGAAAGAAAAGGCAGCTTCGAGATGGGCCGATAATTTGCCAGAACAGAAGGATCAATGTCAGGTTTTTTAAGCAGTGGCTGCACTACTGCATGTTTAAAACTAGCAGGGACCACACCTGAGGACAGACTGCTATTTATAATTGCACAAACAGGCTGCACTATGCTAGATAAAATATCTTTAAAAAGTCGTGGAGGGACAGGATCACGGGGGGAACCTGCTGGCTGAATATGGCCAACCACATCCTCTAAACGTGAGACAGTCAGGCTCAAACTGAGTGAAAGCAGCAGAGCGAGGGACCGAAACAGAGCGAGGGACCGAAACAGAGCGAGGGAGCGAAACGGAGCGAGGGACCGAAACGGAGCGAGGGACCGAAACGGAGCGAGGGACCGAAACAGAGCGAGGGACCGAAACGGAGCGAGGGACCGACACAGAGGGGTCAGAGTCAGGAGCTATGGTAAGAGCCCTGGCACTACCAACCTTCTCAATAAAGAAACACAGAAATTCTCACACATGTCAGGAGAAGCTTCCAAATAGACATCCTGTGGAGTATTAAGCATAGAGTCAATGGTGTTGAATAAGACACGTGGGTTATGTCTGTTGAGGAGATAATATTAGCCAAATATTCCTTTTTGTCTCTGTAACTGTGCTCTGCTAGAGTCGCCAACAGTCTGTTAAAATTTGAAAAGTAACCTGCAGTTTATCCTTCTTCCACCTGCGTTCAACACGGCGACATTCCTTCCTTACAGCACGAGTTCTGTCATTAAACCAAGGCTCAGGGTTAATCTTTGGTTGCCTAGTTTTTAATGGAGCAACCGAGTCCAGGATTGTTTGACAGGAGGAACAGAACCAGGACCAGAGCTCTTCAGTATCAAGTGGAGGAAATCAGATGATCCATGAAGTTGAAGAAAAGCAGTAGAGAACTGAGTGGCCGTGGAGGGGTTAATAATCCGATAACGCCGAGCGCAGCACGGGTTTTAACTGCAGTAGGTGTCAAACTAACCCTGAATAAAACAGGCAAGGTGATCTGAGAACACAGAGTCACAGATTTCCAGGTGATCCACAGGCAGACCGCAGGACATAACCAGGTCCAGTGTGTGTCCGCGCTCATGTGTGGGCCAGATACGGCCTGTACCAGGTTAAAGGAGTCCAGAAGGTTAAAAAGTCCTTTACCAGGCTTATCAGGACAGCACACATGTATATTGAGATCTCCAACAATAAGAACATGATCATAGTTAGTTATAATCCCAGCTAAAAAGTCAGAGATAAAATCCTTATTATATTTGGGGGGCCGGTAAACCACAGCACAGAAGACAGGCTTTACGTGTCTCATCTCAAATGACGTGAACTCAAAGCTGGGAATGGCGTCTGTAGAAAACTGCTTACATTTATAGTCCTGTTTGGAAACAGTCGCTGTGCCTCCTCCTCTCCCTGAAGGTGAATTAAAATAAGAACGTTTGCTGGTAGAAGCTCAGACAGAGCACTGGACTCACAACACTCAGCCACGTCTCAGTCACACACAGGAAATCCAGATTTGATGAATGAAAAAGTCCCGAAGAATAAAAGTTTTGTTCATAAGCGACCTGGCGTTTATTAGGCCAAACCTGACAGGAACTGGAGTATGGGCTTCAACAGGTTGGGAGACCTGGCACAGCGGTCTCAGGTTTTGAAGACACCGCCGGCAAATATAGGGGCAATGGCGGCGGTGCAGAGGGGCTTCAACTCCAGCCACAGGCACCAAACAGACATCAACAGGATCCAAAAAACGCGGAGGCATCGAGAGCCTAGAAATAATCCACGTGATGATCGGGTAAAACAAGGACAGTGCGTCAGAAAGAACTTCAGCTTCACCAGCCGGCCGCTTCGTCTACCGCGACAACGATAACGTCTCCGCCGTGTAAGCAGCGCTGGTACCCGAAGCAGGTGACTCGGAATCTCCGACAGAAGGGGGGCGAGGATTGTTGGTCACCAACATCAAATAACACCATATCCTGGACCAAAGGTTGGAGGTCTAGCAGTGTGTTGCGATCATACGCCAGCAGAGATTCAGTTCCGTAGATGATACAAGTCAAACGTAAGAATGACAGACGAGCAGCCATACACACCGGCGCCATCTTGCCATAGTGAGGTCCAACAGAACCAGAACCAGCACTGTGGTTCTTCCACAGTCTGTGTTCATGTCATTGAACACTTTGACTAGGCCAGCCTCAGTACTGTGGTAAGCATGGAAACCTGTCTGTGTTGAGTTGACAGAATGTCTCTTTCCTTAAACGTTGGTTTGTAAGTTGTGTAAATTGGAGTTCAGGTGGTTCCGTCTCTGGACTAGCGATGCTGTTGGGTTTCACCAAACAATGTTTCCCTGCAATGCTTTAGTCATGAACTCAGAGTCGGTGCCAGAAACTCCCTTCACTTTCATGGGGCAAATGAGTCAAATATGACTGGAAAATATTTAGCAGTTCTCTGGTTTCAGGAAGTGAAGGTTAAAAGGTTTTAGCTGTGCTCTCTTTAAAAATGGTTTCTAATGTCTGGAAATGGAAATTGTTTGAAAATAACAAACAGATGAGCCAACTAGGAAATGTTTATAGTGTCTGAAACATGTTTTCCTCTCTGTCTTATTGAAACATTCATTTAGATGATTCTCAGACTCTGACCCAACAAGTGCAGGAGTCTGAAGATGAGGAGAAAAGTCTACAGAAAGAGAAATCTAACTGGACTGAATGAGGAAGTAGCATTTCTACTGGCGTCTTTATTCTGCCTGTCAGTGATTAGCAGCTGCAACCACAGCGACTCTGATCAAGCAGGATGATCAGAATCCATCTGATATGACGCTGAGCTGTGAATACCACTTCCCTCCTCTTTGAAGAGGAGTCAGATATCTGTGTTCAGGTTTTTGTACAGCCTCTTCTCCACTTTGTATCACTGTGTTTCCAGAGCGCAGTAGCAGAGAGCCGCGTCTGCCGGGGTCAGCTCTCTGATGCTCAGCTCACTGGAGGAAGACGATGCTGCTGATCCAGGATCAGGAACCATGTTGTTTCTAGAGGACAAACAGGAGCCTGAAGGTCAGAACGACGTCTGGCCCAGTGCAGGACAGCAGACCCACATGTTGTCTCCTGCTGGACTGAACCAGAATCCCTGACCTTAAACTGACCTCTACTGAGAGACAGAAGCAACAGGAGGGAGAGCAACATGTCTGGAGTCCTGAGAGCCACACAGATCAACAATGAAGGAAGAACAAATGATGGAGGAGCTGAAGGTCAGTGGGCGGGGCCACTTCAACTCAACCAATCAGAGAGTTTCTGCTTCCTCAGCAGCTCCGTCTCTGATCTTTGCTGCTTCATGTCTCTGTTGTCTTTGTCTTCAGTCCAACGACTCAACAACCAGTGGGAGTGAGGCCCTCTAGTGGCTGCTGTGCAGTACTGCAGGTTTTAGTGGTTTAACAGGGAGTGAGGCCCTCTAGTGGCTTTTGTGCAGTACTGCAGGTTTTAGTGGGTTAACAGGGAGTGAGGCCCTCTAGTGGCTGCTGTGCAGTACTGCAGGTTTTAGTGGATTAACAGGGAGTGAGGCCCTCTAGTGGCTGCTGTGCAGTACTGCAGGTTTTAGTGGATAAACAGGGAGTGAGGCCCTCTAGTGGCTGCTGTGCAGTACTGCAGGTTTTAGTGGCTTAACAGGGAGTGAGGCCCTCTAGTGGCTGCTGTGCAGTACTGCAGGTTTTAGTGGATTAACAGGGAGTGAGGCCCTCTAGTGGCTGCTGTGCAGTACTGCAGGTTTTTGTTCAGGGTTCTGGTGTTTCCTGTCACTGTGGGCCTCACAGCGCAGTAGTACACAGCAGAGTCTGTCACTGCAGCAGAGGAGATCAGCAGATCCAGGTGCTTCTCTCCTCTCAGGTAAGTGGAGAATCTTGTTGATGATTTCAGAGACTCTGCTGATCTTGAGCTGTTGAGCCCTGAGATGTAGTAGATGAACTCTGGAGGTTTTCCAGGATTTTGTTGATACCAAAAGAAATCATCACCAAGAGCTATCTTGTTGGAGTAACTGCAGGTCAGAGTAACAGAGCTGCCCTCTGAACTGAACTCCTCAGTCTTTGCTGCAGTGAGTTGTTGGCAGTTTACACCTGAAGGAAGAAAGAACTGATGTAAGTGAAGAACAACAAGGATGAGATTTATTCTCTGAAAGACTCCAACCAACCTGATCCAGTGATCAGAACCAGCAGAGTGAATCCAGATGTGAGAGCAGAGACAGCATGTTGAGCAGAGTTAATGTTGGAGAGTTGAGCTGAAGGAGGAAGTTTGAGTCTCTTTAGAGTTCAGGAACAGACCAGCTCCTCCTCTTCATCCCCTTCATCCTCCTCATCCTCTTCCTCCTCCTCCTCCTCCTCCTCTTCATCCTCTTCATCCTCCTCCTCCTCCTCCTCCTCCTCCTCCTCCTCCTCCTCCTCCTCCTCCTTCTCCTCCTCATCCTCTCAGCTTCAGCTGCTCAGTTCAACAAACTTTGGCTCAATAGATTCTTCTTCCTTGTTCCTTGTGTCCTTCCATTAAGCCTTAATTTTACTTAGTAAAGTTTTTAAGCAGATCAAACCAAGAACATTATCCATCTGTTGTCTTTGCTGTTATTCATACATTATAATTACTAACATATTAGGAGCCAATATTGTGTCTAAATGTTGAAGTGTCGTGTGTGAGTTATATTTTCATTAATCATCAATGCTTACAAATGATTTTTTTCCACGACAAGCACAATAATGCATTTTCAGTTTATAATGCATTTTATTTATGTATTTATCTTGATATTAAGAAACATATTTAATTTTTTGCTTTTTGCCTGTTGAAAATGTTTTCCTTGAGGTTACTGACAAAGCCATTACAAAATATCGCTTTATTCATTTAATTATTCAATAATTTACACTGTGTCAGGTCCTGCTTCAATAGTTTATGTACAATAATTCAATCTGTTTTAATAAACATTGAACCAGTCCGGTCCTCGGCTTGCAGCAAATTAGTTGTTTTGGCCCTTTGTGTTTTTGACTTTGACATCCCTGGGCGCAGGTCTTCATGGACGGGCCCTGAAGACGGTTTAGGGTCCATGGAGCCAAACCGGGTCCAGGGTCCATGGAGCCAAACCGGGTCCAGGGTCCATGGAGCCAAACCGGGTCCAGCCGTGCTGTGACGGGCCGTCACAGCACGGCTGAGTCCAGAACCTGAATAAATACCTGCAGCTGGCGATGGTGACGGGGAGAGCCTGGCTTCCTGGACTGTCATCGGGCATGTGAGTTTTGCTTCTGTTGACTCTTCTGTTCAATAAAGCAGATTAATATTGTGTCTGAATCTTTTCTGCTCCTTCAGGCCAGGAACTTTGATCCGCCATGTCGGGGCCAGACTGTCCACCATGACACCCTCAAGTCAGGTGATTTGAACAGGCCATCTGACCAAAGGCCAAGGAAGGCAAGGATGAGCGGTTTGTTTTTCATCCCTCAATATTAAAGCGACAGCAGAAAGACTACATAGAAGACGATGGATGATATTTTATCATATGAAGGTCATATTTTTCAGAAGTAGTTGATCAGATTTCAAGTCAAATTATTTTTTGTTAATTCTTTTTAAATGTCTTTTTACTTTAATGATTCACCAAACTCACTTCCTGGTTTTCATATTTTCATTTCAAACTGATGAACCAAACACACAGAGGTCTGCTTCAGACTGAGTTCAACCAAACAGGGAGTGAGGCCCTCTAGTGGCTGCTGTGGAGTTCTGCAGGTTTTTGTACAGGGTTCTGGTGTTTCCTGTCACTGTGGGCTGCACAGCGCAGTAGTACACAGCAGAGTCTGACGGACGAAGATCCTGGATCGTCAGAGGAACTGATCTAGCAGTGGCATCCAGGCTGGAGGAAAATCTCTTCTCCGTTGTTTTCCCATCGCCAATCTTAAAGCGGCTCAGGATGAATGTGGGACTGCTGCCTCCCTCCAGTCTGTACCAGTAGAGGTAATGGTTGGATCCACTTGTGTCATAGAGACATTGCAGAGTTGCGTTGCCTCCTTCAGTAGCCATCAAGTCTCTCTCTGGTTGCAGCACGCTGTCGGTCTGTGCTCTGCATTCTGTAAAATACCAACAACAGGATCAGTGTCAGCTCAACAGCAATCTGCTCTGATGTTAGATGAAGATAGCTGAGTTCTTACCGAGGCTGACAACAGCCAGCAGCACCAAGAACAACAGAGGAGGCATGTCTGAGGAGAGAGCAGAAACAGAGCTGGCAGCTCTGTGCTCGGTCTTCATGTGCTGACAGGAGCCCTGTGGTACTCCCCCTACTGGCAAGTTTTATTCAACACATCCCTGCTCTGCCTCACTTCTGCAGAGCAGGGATGCAGAGCAGCCTGGACCTCCCATCTTCCCCAGTTCAGCTCAGATCAGCTTCATATCCCCTGCAGAGTCACTGAGGTTCAACTTTTACTCTGTTTTTCACTGTGGTTTTGCATCTTTGAGTTATTGTTGTGTCAATTAATCTGGGATTTTCAAATAATTTAAAATAATTCAGAGGTAACCAAATCAAATAAAATGTTCACTGATTTCAAACTTTGGCTGCCTTGGTGCATTTAGCATCAGTCATGCTCTGGATCGACATCAGACCCTTTAGACGTTTAATTAAAGGTTTTGAATCGTTTACAAGTTGATAATCAATTCAGGTATTTACATTACATTCAATAATTATCATATTATTGATATTGATCTGGCATTAGCATGGTTCACTAAAACTACATTTCAGAAGTAGTTGATCAACTACAAAAAAAATATTTTTATTCTTCTGATGTAACATTCTAATTTTATGACTTTTTCACTGCAAATCAAAAATCATAAAAGAAGAAAAGGTTTTGAAATATCCACCTGTATAATTATCTATATATTTTATCTAAAGTAATATTCTTTATTAAATGGGTTTTGTTTATATTTTGGTTATTCACACATGAGATCATATAAAACCTTCATCAGTGGGTTTATGTCACTGGAGAAAAGGTTTGATTCATCTGATGTTGTCCATTCAGCTTGTTTGGGTTCATTGTTACAGCTTCACCTTTTACCTTTAACTGGAAAAAACCCCATTAATTAGTATTTAGTTACAAGACACAATTAATTCAATCTGCACATAATATTTACCAGCACCAGACATAAAAACAAAACTGACATGATTAGATTGTGTGGTTCCCCACAGCTGCTCCTGTTCTCGTCTCAAACTTGATGTAATAAAGATGTTATAACAAACATCATGGGCGTTTCCTCCATCAACCTCTCCATTAGAGGTTCTGCAGTATTCCTGCTCTGTTTGGACAGATGAGATGAGAACTCTGATTTTCTTTCCTCTTCTGAACGATGAACTAACAGGTGATCAAACTCAACACCACGAAGACAAACAAGCAGCAGCATTTTGTAATCCTGACATGGAGTAAAACAGACAAGTGTAATCACTGATTGTTTGTCAGTTACTCATCTGATGCCATCAGTTGCAATAGTCATATTTTATAAAAATGATTTATAAAATTATTACTGGGTGTCTTTGACCCCATCAGTCAAAACAATGTGGAATATAAACTTTTATGGTGTCCTCTGGCTTTTGCTGACATGGTTTATTGCATATTGTGCAAATTTTACATAGGTCCACCAATCTTGGACTTTATTACATGTGAGGCTGTGCAGTGTATGAATGCTCTGAATGAACTGTCATCATGTCTGTTATGACAGTAATAACAAATCATTTATTTGACTATTTGTGCAATAATTATACAATCTTGCAATTTTTAAATGTGTAAAGCTTTTATTTCATACCTAAATTCAATGTGTTTAGATTTTCTCTTATGTCATACGTTCTTTTAATCTACAGTTATTTTGATTCAGATCCCAGCAGAGAATCATATAAAATGTCCCATAATAAACTTTTCTCTTTTGACTGGATTTGACTGAGGATGGGAAGCTAAATACGTACATTTTAGAGATCTTAACTTCTTGAAAAATAAATTCTTCAGTTTTTTTAAATCTGTTTTATTCCGTGAGCTATCTTCTGACTGTTCATGTAATTCTGAAGCACTTTGATCAACTGTTATTTTGAAAGTTGCTATGGAAATAAATTTTGACAGTTTTTTCTTTTTTTTCACAGAACAAGCTTCTTAAAATGAACATGACGCTGTTTCAGACTGAATCCCACCGAAACAGAAGAAGAACAGAGGGAGTGAGGCCCTCTAGTGGCTGCTGTGCAGTACTGCAGGTTTTAGTGGATTAACAGGGAGTGAGGCCCTCTAGTGGCTGCTGTGCAGTACTGCAGGTTTTAGTGGATTAACAGGGAGTGAGGCCCTCTAGTGGCTGCTGTGCATACTGCAGGTTTTTGTTCAGGGTTCTGGTGTTTCCTGTCACTGTGGGCTGCAGAGCGCAGTAGTACACAGCAGAGTCTGACAGATGGAGATCCTGGATTGTCAGGTTGAAGGATTTTATGGTGCTGTTGAGGTCAGCATCAAATCTGTTATTGTTGAACTCTGAAGCTTTATCTTTTGTTGATGACAGCTGCTTCAGCATGTACTTTGGGAAACTGTTTTCTTCTTGCTTATACCAGAACAATGTGGGAGTAAAACTGGTCTCATAAGTACATCCCAGAGTCAGTGATTCTCCTGCTGCTGCAGCAACTTCTCCTCCTGTCGCTTCACTGAGTCTCCTTTACACTCTGGGAAGAACAGAACATGCAGAGGAAGAGACGGATCAATAAAGATGATTGATTAAAGGAGAACAATCAGCAGCTTTAAAGACTCCATGTAGAGGAAACATCTTTGTATCTTACCAGAGAAAAGAGCAGCCAGAATAATCCACAGCCAATGTTCCATCTGTCCAACAAGGTTTAAATCAGCAGGAGAAAGCAGCTGATGTTCAACATTCAGTCTGACTATTGTTCTCTTCACAGCCAGCAGCGGCTCCAGTGTACATGCAGCCCTGAGTAAACACCGCCTTTGTTGAACTCCACCCCCACACACAAACACACTCCTGTTTCAGTGCACGTTTATTCACTTGTACTGACTCCCATCAATTCTATGATCTTGACATTTCCCCTGAGCCACTTAATTCCCACCTTAATCCCAACACCTAACTCAAAAATTATGTTTTTATTGTCGGGACATGGCAAAATGTCCTCACAGCTATAAATGTCCAACAATGTCAGTTGTTTGACAAGATTAAGTCCTCATAATGATAGATAAACCAGCACACACACACGCACACACACACACACCCTTGAAAACCCCCACATGTGCTAAAACAGCAGATTATCCAATGGAGATAATCTGCTATAATGGAGAGTTTCCCAAAGAGCTACAGTCTCTGCATCTCTTCATTGGGTCCAGGCAGCATCCTCAGCTCAGCATATGGCTGAGCTTCGTTATCATTTAAAAAGTGATCAGCTGCTTGTTCACAAACAGCCTCATGGTTTATATATTGGCTGTCCGATATTTGTCCAGAGAGAGACTCTGAGTTCTCCCAGGAATTAACTCATGATGAACGACTGAAATATTGTCAGCATGTTGGTAAGCTGCAGTCAGGTGTAATAAACACCTGGGATAATAAACATGTTCCTATTTTATTCTATTTGTCCATCAGATTAAAAAAAATTCTTAATTTTGTAGTTTAACAGGGAGTGAGGCCCTCTAGTGGCCGCTGTGCAGTACTGCAGGTTTTTGTTCAGGGTTCTGGTGTTTCCTGTCACTGTGGGCCTCACAGCGCAGTAGTACACAGCAGAGTCTGTCACTGCAGCAGAGGAGATCAGAAGATCCATCTGGGTTTTATCATCATTCACGTTGAAGGAGAAACCAGGAACCGGATCCTGGAGTTCAGCTCCAGATCCTAAATGAGAAATCAGGAACTCTGGAGGTTTTCCAGGATATTGTCGATACCAGAAGAAATAATCACTTCCAGTAGCTTTGCTGGAGTAAGTGTAGGACAGAGTAGCTTTGCTTTTTTCTACAGCGAACTCTTCATTATGAAGCGCGGTGAGTTGTTGGCATCTGACTCCTAGATGAAGAGAAACCTGTTAGTTTCAGTTTCTGTAAATAAATTCACATTTATTAACTTTGAAAACGTGTTTTTGAAAAACAGAGACATTGTGACCTGTTAGCAGAGAGGCGATGAGCAGAGACAGACCATAATAGTCCATGATGAGCAGAGTTGATGTTGGAGAGTTGAACTGAACTGAAGGAGGAAGTTTGAGTCTCTTTAGAGATCAGGATCAGTTCAGCTCCTCCTCTTCCTCCTTTTCCTCTCAGCAGAAATAACATGAGAATAAAATAATGCATCAAGCAAATTATGTTTCAATGTACATTCAAAACTTTAAAAAGAAAATCACATATAAAATATCCAGTTTATGAAGACAAATCTAGTCAGTTTAAATGAATCATCCAGATCAAGTCCATTGACAACTGACAATGCATCAAGTTCAGCTTACTATTGAAATTATATTTAAAAGTTTTCTACCATACCAACTTTATTTATAAAGCACTTTAATACAACCACAGCTGAAACAAAGTGCTGCACATAAAATAGATAAAAACAAATACAGTTTAAAAACAACAAACATACAATATGAAACTAGATCTCACTGGAGTTGAAGGCCAAGTGAAATAAATGGGTTTTAAGATGAGCTTTAAAAGTGGACAGTGAAGGGGCCTCTGACCTGCAGGTCATCCATAACTTAGGACCCCGACAGAGAAAGCTCTGTCCCCTCTGAGCTTCCTTCTAGATCTCGGTTCCTCCAAGAGATCGATAAGGTATGTCAGGGTGAAGAAGCTCAGTGAGGTAAGCCGGGGCAAGATCATGCAGCGATTTCAAAACAAACATAGAAATTTTAAAACGGATCCTAAAATAAACAGGCAGCCAGTGAAGTGAAGCCAAGACAGGGTCACATGCTCTCTCTTTCCAGTTCCTGTCAAAAGTCTTGCAGCCGCATTCTGAAGCAGTTGCAGACGTGAGAGCAGTGACTGACTGACTCCCAGATATAGAGAGTTACAATAATCCAGTCGAGTCAAAATAAAAGCGTGGATCACTGTTCAAAATGCTGCCTGGAAAGAAAAGATTTTACTGATGCCAATCGCCTTAAGTGATAAAAACTGGACTTAACCACGGCTCTAATGTGGCTGTCCAATTTAAAATCACTGTCCACCTTAAAACCAAGATCTGTAATAACAGGTTTAAAATAAACTGGTTTAAAATAAACAGGTTTAAAATGCACCTCCAAGGGTCAAAGGTCAACAGAGGAGGACTCACAGGAGCCACTGGGTCTGAGCACCATCACCTCTGTTTTCTTTTCGTTAAAATGTAAAAAGTTCAAAGCCAACCAAGCTTTAACATCATCTAGACATGCCAGGAGATGTTTGATTGACTGGACATCTTTCTGCTTCAGGGGCAAATAAATCTGGCAATGAAATGAAATCCCATGTTTGCTGAAGATAGAACCCACAGGCAGTAAATAAAGACAGAAAAGCAGTGGGCCCAGAACGGAGCCCTGTGGTACACCATATGACATTGAAGCAGTAGATGATTCAGAGTCTCTAATATTTACTGGAAATGTTCTGTCCTTCAGGTTGGACCTGAACCAATTAAGAACAGTGTCATCAATACATACAATAAGCTGTAATCACGATATTAAAATGTCGTGGTCGGCTGTATTAAAGGCAGCAGTGAGGTCAAGTAAACCCAGCAGATTGTATTGAGTCGTTGATTCTTAATTAAGAATGTTTTAAACATAATAAGCTATATAGTAACACATTTATTTATACTTTATCCATAAAGACGAATTACTGCCAGAATCAACATGTATGTTAGTAAAAGCATTCATTCCTTTGACCTCCATGCTTCAGAGCCCAGCAGACAAAACACCTAAAACTTCTCAGAACATCCTTCAAAATCCTCAACAGGAGACTCAGGAGGGGTGTAAGTTTATTCTGCATCATTAAAATGATCTCAAAGACAGAAGTTTTGGCATTAAAATTGGAATTTCCACCAAAAATGAGAAAGACATCAGAAATCTATTGCACCGCAAATTCCTGAGAACGTACATCACTTCAGGATCAGCTGAGGAGGTGATGGGGCTTCATACATGCAGGGTCAGAGGGAAGGTCATGTCTGAGGTCACATATAGGGTCAGATGTCGCGTCGGCCATGAGCCGCAGGGTTTCCTGGGGCCTCCATCAAGCCCTGGTTTAGCTCACCTGGTTTAGCTCACCTGGTTTAGCTCACCTGGTTTAGCTCACCAGGTTTAGCTCACCAGGTGAGGCGGTAATCTGCCCTCTTTGTCCTTTGAGGTGTGCAGCGCCCCCATCTGTTCTCCCTGTGAAGTTGACACTGTCAGTCCTTTCTTCTGATTGCATGAAATGACTTGACCTCATTAACTGGAAAGATGAGACCCTTTCCCCACCATTAGCTCAGCTTCCAATCTGCATTGGTTTTGGGAATAATTAAATCTTGAGTGATTTTAAAATGTGGGAAGTGAAGCCAGTCTTAAACAGAAATCCACTGAGATTTCTGTGGAAAAAGGATTTGCTTATAGCTGCTGATGAAGGAGATGAGAGGTGAACAAAGTTCACTGTATCACGAGGTGATCTGGGCTGAGAGTCCATGTCTGGTTAGGATGTGACGTCTCCGGTGATCTGGAGTGGGACAGATCACACAGAGGAATTTCTGTAAGAAGACAGACAAACTGCGTCTCAGGCTGCTTCTTTGGGTTGGGAGGCTGCTTTGCTTTGCTAGTGACTGAGCTGTTTGTGGAGCTGATCCAGAACGTCTGCTATTCTGGGTCGCTGTGTGATGTAGAGCTCCCAAACTCACACACAGAGGAACACAGGTTCCCCAATGTGATTTATAATGCAAGCCATGCAGTCAGGAATGAATCATAAGATAATTAGCATTATTTATTTGTCCCACAGTGATTAAAAATATTTCTTACAAGAGAATCTTGGCCAAGACTGGCAGCAGCACACAATTTACTGAACATTCAGACAGCAAAACAGAAACAGTTCACAGTCATAAATGTACATGTTTCCTTCATGTATGTCTGCAACTGGTTCCAAGATGATGCAGCAGAAAACGATTCAATAGCAACTCATAATAACTAAACCTTATTTACCATTATTTAACCATTAATCAAAAGTTTATTAACTTTGAAAACATTCTTAATTAAGAATGTTTTAAATATAATAAGCTATATAGTAACACATTTATTTATACTTTTTCCATAAAGACTAATTACTGCCAAAATCAACATGTATGTTAGTAAGTAAATGCTTAAATATTCTTTCAAACATTCCTCTAGTTACCGCTGTGCAGTACTGCAGGTTTTAGTGGATTAACAGGGAGTGAGGCCCTCTAGTGGCTGCTGTGCAGTACTGCAGGTTTTAGTGGATTAACAGGGAGTGAGGCCCTCTAGTGGCTGCTGTGCAGTACTGCAGGTTTTAGTGGATTAACAGAGAGTGAGGCCCTCTAGTGGCTGCTGTGCAGTACTGCAGGTTTTTGTTCAGGGTTCTGGTGTTTCCTGTCACTGTGGGCTGCAGAGCGCAGTAGTACACAGCAGAGTCTGACAGACGGAAATCCTGGATCGTCAGATTAAAGGATTTCTTTTCTTTATTGAAGTCAGCATCAAATCTGTTGTTGAACTCTGGATCTTTATATTTTGTTGATGACAGCTGCTTCAGCATGTACTTTGGGAAGCTGTTCTCTTCTTGCCTGTACCAGAACAATGTGACACTCACACTGCTGTCATAAGTACATCCCAGAGTCAGTGATTCTCCTGCTGCAGCAGCAACTTCTCCTCCTGTCTGCTTCACTGAGTCTCCTTTACACTCTGGGAAGAACAGAACATGCAGAGGAAGAGACGGATCAATAAAGATGATTGATTAAAGGAGAACAATCAGCAGCTTTAAAGACTCCATGTAGAGGAAACATCTTTGTATCTTACCAGAGAAAAGAGCAGCCAGAATAATCCACAGCCAATGTTCCATCTGTCCAACAAGGTTTAAATCAGCAGGAGAAAGCAGCTGATGTTCAACATTCAGTCTGACTATTGTTCTCTTCACAGCACCACTTCTTATTGACACAATGCTGGAGCACAGAGCACAAGGAGAGCGCCGCCTACTGGAGCATGGCGCCCTCTGGTGGAGAGGAGAGGTGGAGTCCAGCAGAGAGGAGACGAGGCTTCAGCAGCTGGGCAGATGTTCAGGAGGAACTGGTTCTACTGGATCTACTGGATCTACTGGATATTGTCAGCAGAAGTGATCAGCTTCTCAACTGGACTCTTCATCCTGGATTGCAGTGAGTTTTTCACAGTTAAATACTAAAGGAAGTGAAAAATGTTGCCAAAACAAATTGGTGCTTTTTATTCTTCCTGTGTTGAGAACGATTGTGACGACAGAGGAAACGTGACCCAGAGATGTGGTGACATCTTCCTCAAACTTTCAGTTCTGTCAGCAGGGCTTCTTCAATTCACTGAACAGTGGGAATCGTTTGGTCTTCTGATGTTTCTCCTGATCACATGGTTCTTTTTCTCAAATCTAAATGCAACATTTTGATTTTGCTCCCATTATTCATCAGCTGAACTAAAACATTTTCACAAACACAAAATAACTGTTTGTCTCAAATATTGTCAACAAATGTGTCTCCTCCTTTGCAGATAATCCCTCCCACCTCACAGGTGTGGCATATCAAGATGCTGATTAGACAGCATGATTATTGCACATGTTGTGCAATAAAAGGCAATAAAAGGCCACTGTGAAATGTGTTGTTTTCCCACAGCACCATCTCACAGATGCTGCAGGTTTTCAGGAAGTCGGCCACTGGCATGCTGACTCCTGATGGGCATACACTCAGCAACATATGAAACAATGATGGAATCACTATTTTCAGACTGATTTCTTTCTGCCAAGACACTCAAAGAAAGTCCCGTCCTGTTGTGAGGCGATCCGTCTCCCATTCAGGTCGGGACTAATGTCCAGGAGAACAGGCCAATGGCTCCAACCGCTGGACGATTGCTGCGATGCAACGTCAACTATGCAGACGCCGCTGCAAATGATCTTCCATGACATGCTGGACATGGAGGGACAGGTGGTCCAGGTGTCTCCGTTGGACCATTAGGGAACTGAGAAACGGCAGAAGCACAAACAGCAATAAAGTTGATCAAGTTATTCTTTCAAGGTCTTAATGTCCCTTTTCTGTCCAAAACGTGAAAGAACAAGTTTCACACCGACGTCTTCATTGGAGGTCGTCTCCAAAAGAAACCCTTACCTCTGCAGAAATGGCTTTTATTGTCAAATCTACAAATATGGCTTCCAGAGCAATGAATGCTGGCAGATGTTGCCCAGTCCGCCCATTTGAGTAAACTGGAGCTCCAGCATCCCCTTTAGGTCCCAAGAGTTGGACAGTGTTTGGAGCCTTGAATGTCCATTTGACACGCAAACTGAAAAGTCAATGATCCAAAATGATTTGGCACCTTTTTCCCAGAGTTGCTGCTCGATCTGCATTTTAAAGATTCTAAAACTGCAAACTTCCAGGATTAAGATGAAACAAACTCCAGTTGGATTATATGGCGTTTTATTTCAGATCCAAAACTTTTAGAACTACAACTCTGATCACATTAGTCTTATAAAGTCTTAAAGGTTTTCTTTCTATACATCAGAATGATCATTAGAAGGAAGCAGTTCTTCTATCTACTAAGACACTAACTAGTAGTTTAGTGTCTAAAGTCACTTTAGTCTCCAGATTAAACTTTCTGAACGCAGCGATCAGTTATCAGCATCTCATCATACAAAGAGAAGATTCAAACTCAGACACACTTTCAAATAGTTACATGAAAAAATCCAAGAAGAAATAATGAGCTGGTGATTTTAGAAGCTGAAGGGAGAAGATAAAACCTGCAGAAACACAGAATCAGAACGAGCTGCAGAAAATGATCAGAACTGTTGAATTCCTGCAGAGGATGTTTCCAGCTCACCTCTCAAGATTCAGCAGATCAATGAGTCTGATGAACAGGACAGATGATCAGGGCAGATGAGTTTTTACCTCCATCACTAAGACCAGGACTGAAGAACGGGTAGAGTTTCTCCTTGAAGCAGCAGCCAGTAAAGGAGTAAATCACATCTACAGCATCTACATCATAGAAGGAGACCAGACCCTCCTCATAATCCACAAACACCCCCACCTTCTCTGGACCAGGATGGAGATGCAGACGGACTGAAGGTCCAGCACCAACTTTGTACTCATATCCATTTCTCAACCAGAAAGTCCAGAAACCTTTCTGAGGACTGAGGTTGATGGTTCCCTTCCTGTCAACAGATTCTCTAACCACTCCTAAAGCCCAGTTAGTCTTTCCTTTAACCTGAACCTCAAAGTAAAATCTGCCTGAGGAGAAACTCTGCTGTCCTAAAACAGAAACACAGTGAGAAAACCTCTGTGGATTGTCTGGAAGATTCTTCTTCACATCTCCATGTTTGGCCTGTTTTCCATCACCAGACAGGATGAGGTTAGGATGAGCCGCATCAGGATCCAGAGTCACATCCACTGCAAACTGCTGGACCCTTCAGCTCTTCTGCTAGCAACTTGCTAATCTTCTGCCTGAAGTCTTCCTCAACCAGAGCCACAGCTCTCACCACAGTGCCCTCATATGATGGTGGATGAACTCTGACCTCTACACAGTGCTTGACAGGTGGAGGATCTGTCAGATAGGAGAAGCTCTGCAGGAGGTGGAGGTGATCTTCATCCTGTGAGAGCTGCTTCAGCTCAGAGCTCCTCTTCTCCAGCTCAGAGATCTCCTGTTCCAGGTCTGTGATGAAGCCTTCAGCCTCTTTCTCTGTAGTTTCCTGTTTGCCTTGGATCTCCTTGAGGAGCTCCTTCAGGCGTCTCTCAGCAGACTCCATCAGAGCCGTGAAGACCTGAACAGCTTCTGCTTTCTCTCTGTCTGCAGCATCTCTACTGATCTTCAGCAACTCTCTGATCTCCTGGATCTTCAGTCGTCTCTCCTGGATCGTCTCCTGAACTTCAGCCTCCGTCTTCCTCAGCTTTGCCTTCTTTCCTTCAGATTCTTCTCCCAGAGGAACCAGCTGGTGGTTCTTGTGGTCTGAAACAGAGCAGAGTGAGCAGACGCATGTCTGGTCGGTCCTGCAGAACAGCTCCAGAGGTTTATCGTGCTGCAGACACATCCTGTCCTCCAGGTTCTCCATGGGCTCCATCAGCTGGTGTTTCTTCAGACGTGGAGCGGCCAGGTGAGGCTCCAGGTGAGTCTGGCAGTAGGAGGTCAGACACACCATGCAGGACTTCAGGGCCTTCAGTTTGGGTCCAGTGCAGACGTCACAGGGAACTTCTCCTGGTTTAGCAGCTTGTTGCTCCGAGCTGCTGCTGCTGGCTCCCTGCTGAGCTTCATGTCTGAACTGATCAACCATCTCTTTGATGAAGGTGTTGACTCTCAGCTGAGGTCTGCAGGTGAAACCTTCATTACACAGAGGACATTTGTAGGGGCCGTCTCCGTCCCAGTGCTGGGTGATGCAGGTCTTGCAGAAGTTGTGTCCGCATGGTGTGCTGACTGGATCAGTGAACACATCCAGACAGATGGAGCAGAGAAACTGATCCTCAGACCGCGGGCTGCTGCCAGAAGACATGTCTGAACCTGAGGACAGGAGACACAGATCAGTGATTAGCAGATGATCTGATCGGGAGGTCTGAGATGTTCTGATCAGGTTCCATGAAGGGGGATTTCAGCAGGAGTAACAGAGAGGTCCACACTTCTCTCTCCCAGCTCTTCCAGGGGAATCTCAAGCCGATCCCAGACCAGCAGAGAAACATCGTCCCTGCAGTGTGTCTGAGGTTTTCCTCTGGGCCTCCTCCTAGTGGGACATAAACTCTTTACCAGGGAGCCTCCATCCTAACCAGGTACCCCTCAACTGGCTCCTCTCCATGTGGAGGAGCAGCAGCTCTACTCTGAGTCCCTCCCAGATGACTGAGCTTCTCTCTCAGGGAGCCCAGACAGAGGAAACGCATTTCAGCCGCTTGTATCCGTGACCTTGTTCTTTCAGAAATGGCCCAAAGCTCATGATCATAGATCAGGGTAGTAATGTAGATCAACCGACAAATAGAGCCAGGCCAATCCGCCGGTTAATCTTCCGCTCCATGTTTCCCCCATTTATGAACAAGATCCTGCGATACTTGAACTCCTCGTCTTGGAGCAGGACATCCCCCGACCCGGAGAAGCACTCTTCCTTTTCCGGCTCCAGACCACGGCCTCAGCTCTGGAGGCACTGATCCTCATCCTGGGCGCTTCCCACTCGGCTGTTTACTGCCCCAGTGGAAGCTGTAGGTCACGACCTGGTGAAGCCAACAGGACCACATCATCCGCAAAAAGCAGAGATTCAATCCTTAAGCCATCATGCCAAAAGAGAGGAAAGATGATTTCTCTGGAAATTATCTTTCTGAAAATTCCAGAAAATGAATTATTTTGTTAAAGGCGATTCTAAAATGACAATAATTTGTGGACTATTTTAGTTCTTTAGACTCTTAGTAGGCTGGTCTGACTTCTTTTCCCTGTTTTTATAAATCACAGTCTTTGGACTTTTGTTTTGTTTTTGTTTTTTAATAATTAAACTCGGAGCAATAACTCTGATATGATTTCTATGACTGGCGTCTGTCAGTACCAGTAAAATGATTTGCATAAACAGGAAGTACAGTCCGTAAGAACCTGGACAGGTGGCAGTGCCTCCCGCTGGACTTTGCTCTGATTTATCATAAAATAACATTTTATCTCATCAGAATTATTTACTGTGATTATTCCAACAGGGAGAGTCTTTCTGTAAACTTTAAACTGGGAGGAGTCTTCCTGTTTTCAACTGAAGCTCAATCTGCTTTCTTTTCCTTTTGGCTTTTCCCTGTCAGGGTCGCAGCAGAGACTCATCTCCACCTGAGTCCCTCTCGTTCTGTCTTCATACATCTCACCTTCACTCCTCTCTATCTCTCACCTCAGATCACAACATCATCTGCAAACATCACAGTCCATGGAGATTCCTTCATCAACCTGTCCATCACCACAGCAAACAGGAAAGGCTCAGAGCCAAAGTGGAGGTTTCACTGCCACTCTGAACTCCTCTGTCCCTCCGACAGCACACCTCACCACAGTCTCACATCCACATCCTTTACCACTCCATCATGTTTCTCTCCTACTCCAGACTTCCTCATGCAGAACCACAGTTCCTCTCTAGCAATTCTGTCATTTCTAGATCTATAAAAACACAATGCAGCTCCTCTGACGTTCTCTGGACTTCTCTATCAACATGTGCAAAGCAAAGATTGCATCTGTAGAACATTTTCTTGACATGAAACGCGACGGTTGCTCACCGATGTCAACCTGAGTCTGGCTGAGGACTCTGTGCATCTTCCTTGCTCTTGATAATTGGCACCAGCTCACTTCTTCTCCATTGTTTTCTCTTTCTCTGATGTTATTGAACAGGTTAGACACCTGCACAGGTACTCCAGGTACCCTCACTGCTCCTCTCCAGCCACACAGTAAGCCCTTAGCTTGACCTCTTAACCTTTTCTTCTTGTGAGCCGCTCACATCACTTCCTTATTCCATCAGCTGAAGATAAATTAAACTGACATTTGAACTGCTGATGGCATAATTCTTTATTTTTAGTTGGAATAAAATCCTAAACCAACATGTTGGTTAAGAACAACACATGGAAAATAAATATTAGATTAAAATCTGAGTTTCTGAAAGCAATGAGAAGATTATTCCCAGATTGCTGCTGATTGAAACAGTGAATATTATCATCTGTACTCACCGCTGTCTGGGGCAGTTACTGAGAAGGAAGAAATGAACACAGACAGAGAAATTAGTCTCGACTGCAGCTCTGCTGTTCTTCACTCATTTTACTTTCATTTCTGGAAACTGGAACTGAAACTTTCCAGTGTGGCTCCTCCTCTCTCTCTCACCGGTTTTCCTCAATGAGCCTCAATTTCCTCAATAAGTATGGAAATAAGTATATCCTAACCCAGTTACATTGTATTTGTATTTCTTAGCATTGCAGAGGAAGCAATATGTATAAACGTAAAGACAGAGTTTAAAGAGTTCATATGAACAGGTTTTCTTGTCAGACTGTATTTCTGTGGAGAAAACGACTGCAGCATTTGATCAGGGCCCATTTCATCACCCAGTGATGTTATCTGAGAAAATAGACTTTCTAAAATTTAAAAATAAAGATTTTTTTCACAATTTTAATTCAATCAAAAAAGCTGATTTACAGATCACACTGAGAAGAGCTCCTCACGAAAGGGGAGAAATCCTCCTTGCAGCAGGCTCTGCATGCTGATGCTGTAAATTCAACTTTGCATCATTTCATCATGACTCAATTTTAAATAATCTGTATATCACTGTGGATATAGTTCTTGTATGTTTTATTTGGATTCATGTATCAACCAATCACAGCCAAACTACATCTGGTGATTAATTTCAGAAAGACTCAAAGAGTAAAAGCTACCGGGTCATTCTCTGTTTAAGACAAACTTCTTACCAGCAGGTGGAGCTAAACTTCGATAACGCTTTATCAGGTCCAGAGAACCAGAGGATTTCGCTCTACATTCATCATCCTGCTTGATGGATCAAACCTCAGTCCGTTTGAAGAAATGGTAACCTGAACTAATAACTAATATTTATGTCAACAAAATGAAACATAATTACAGAATTATCACAGTTTTCTGCCTCCACAGCAGCAGCTGTCCTATCTTTCCTGCTTCATGACTTTGTCTTCAGTCCAAAGACTCAACAACCAGTGGATTATCAGGGAGTGAGGCCCTCTAGTGGCTGCTGTGCAGTACTGCAGGTTTTTGTGGATTAACAGGGAGTGAGGCCCTCTAGTGGCTGCTGTGCAGTACTGCAGGTTTTTGTACAGGGTTCCGGTGTTTCCTGTCACTGTGGGCGACACGGCGCAGTAGTACACAGCAGAGTCTGTCACTGCAGCAGAGGAGATCAGCAGATTTGCTTGTTTCTGAGTTTTATCGATGTGAGCGGAGAAATTGGAGCGAGTTGGATGGATCGATCCCGACTCTGTGATGGAGAGCAGGAACTCTGGTCTGGATCTCTGCCGCTGTCGATACCACTGGACATTATAGATGGAACCAGTATAGTCGCAGCTCAAACTGGTGGGTTTTCCCTCTGAAGCGGCGTGTTCCCTCTGCTCCTGTGTGACGGTGTTCATGGAGCCCATGGCTGTAAAATGATGGTTCATGTCAGTCAGTCTGCAGCAGATTCAGGCGTCAGGAGACTCAGAGGCTCTTCCATCCACATGTGGTCGCAGTGAGATCCAGAGAGAAGATCAGAGCTTCTCTCGGTTCTGATACTCACCGATGCAGAGAGAGAAGAGCAGGAGGTGAAGCAACATGTTCCAGGAGTTCAGGTCAGACATGAGATCAACAGAGATGATCCACTGCAGCAGAAGGAAGACTAACAGACCTTCATCGTCATCATCAAGCTGCTTTTAGCTCTGCAGAGACGAGCCTTCTCATTGGCTGAGCTCAGCAGTGGTGGGAGGAGCCAGAGAGAAACTGGTTGTTGCTGAAGGTTCAGCCAGTGAGGAGATTTCTGACTGAGAAACCAGCTGAAGTTAGTGAGTCGGTGCTGCAGCGAACCAGAAACATCTGAGACTGGTTCTGGTGATCAGGTTTCAGCGACTCTGATTGTTTAAGATCCAGCTTTTTGGTGATCCTTCCAGTTTAGGAACCAGTTGAGAAGGTTCAGCCAGTGAGGAGATTTCTGTTGCAAATGGGGAGGATGTGTGTTTGCATTTTCTGTTTGATCATAAATGGGAGGCGATCCATCACAGAGACAAACACCTGCTCATACATTCGCTGGTCAAAGTTAAAATTAGAAAAGTCAGTTGCTAGTGATTGATTTGGACTTTAAGAGAAACCAACAGCAAAGCTCTGCAGAAAGCAGCTGATAGTCTTTTCCTGACCGTGTTACACAGAGTGAGAACATCACTTGTTTCTGTAACAGTCGCCTCCTTCTTCATCTCCATGGTTTAAATGGTGGAGCGAGTTCATCCAGTAATCAATGGGTTGCTGGTTTGAGTCCTCTGACAGGCTTCCAGAGCAGCTGTGGCTACTATTCAATAGCTCACACCAACAGGGTGTGAGTGAATGGATGAATCAGTGATTGTAGGGTGAAAATCTTCTTTATCAGCCATTTTCATCTCCAATCTGTCTGGCATCATCCATGAGTGTAAATCCTCTGCTGACATACTTGATCCAATCCCACCATCCCAACTTCCAACCTCCAGGTTCTTCATTGCTGTCATCATTCACTCCTTACTTTCCTCTAGAACTGACCTTTTTAAAATGCTGCCATTACTGGAAATACTGTAGAAACTAAAGATCCCAACAATTAAAATAATCTTAACCACATCTCTAATTTATCTCCAAACTAATCAGAGAGTCGTCTCTAAACTTCAAATGTAACTCAATAACCTCCATGAACAATTCCAGTCTGGTTCCCATTGATCTTCCTGCCATCTGATCTCAGTGTGACCTTTGACCCTCTGTCCTTCTCCACACTGGCCTCCATCTGGCATCACTCACACTCTCCCACAGGTTTCATTCCTTCACTGAATGAAGAATCAGCAATGAACTGGTTAACTCTGCGATAGATCCTGGAGTTTCCAGAAAGCAGGAGATTGAACAGTTCAGGTTTGTCATGTTTGCTAATTATGTCTGTTAGTGTCAAACTTCTTCTCCTGCACAGTTTGTGCTATTTTCACCATTCAACTTTTATACCATTCAGCTTGGTCTCCTGATGCCAGCTGTATCTCTTGGTATTCATAACCTCCATACTTTTTATAATATTCAACTTTTTATGAATTCTTGAGAATTACAACATAAAATGTGTGTTGTGTTTTACAGTGGATGTTTCAGGTCCTGCCTGCTAATTGCAATCAATCATCCAGTGGAGGAAACAAAGCAGAGGCCATTTTGAAGTTGGGCAGTTTAACAGCTTTGATGCTGTTTGATTCCTGGGAATAATTTGAAAAAAGTCATCATTTACATAAGTTTTTTGTTTGTTTGTTTACATTGCATGGAATATATAACTTTAGCCCAGCATGCTAGTGCTATCCTAGATGCTATTTTATCTCATTTTGGCTTGTACCTGGGTTTTCACACTGCATGGACGATTTCTTACCTTTCTCCAGCAGGCGGCTTCAAACGCTTTTATCATTTTCACCAAAAGCTTTGAGCATTCAGCTTTGAGCATACAGCATTCACATTTGCAGTTGCATTTTCATAGGAAATGCACACTTTCTAGTTTGTATTAAATGCTTTTGCAAATCACTCCATGTAATTACAAGGAAATGGTTTGTAAACGAACAATCGTCTCAGCCTGAAGTTGTGCTAGGAGCTGATGTTTCAAAATAAAACGTGAATGAATCTTGTTCAGTCACTTTTCCAGTCTTTATTGAATTTGCCTGCAATTACTTTTTAAATCCTGCAGATGTCACTGTGAGTGACACAGTTTCAACACACAGTTGACTCAGTTTGGGAAAAGCTCCACAGCCTGGTCAGCTCATCAGCCTCATTCTGGTTAAATTCAGAATTCAGATCAAAATCTCCTGCATAGATCCAAACTTAATTCTAACCTTTCTGCTCCTTCACTTTCTGAAGTCCTTCATATTTCTACTTCCTCCTGCAGCCTTACAACTTCCTCCTCTCTTCATTTCACTGTCGCTTCTACTCATCGTTGTAAAACTGATCACTAACTGATCGCCTGATCGTTCTGCATTGACTAGTGTGATTTTAATTTGTGTCTCTTGCTGTGCTGGTAGTTCTAATTTAATGTATTATTAATATGTGAAAACCAATGAATGAAAGACACACTGTTGGAGGCCCTCTAGTGGCCGCTGTGCAGTACTGCAGGTTTTTGTTCAGGGTTCTGGTGTTTCCTGTCACTGTGGGCTGCAGAGCGCAGTAGTACACAGCAGAGTCTGACAGACGGAGATCCTGGATCGTCAGGTTGAATGTCTTGTTGGTTTTATTGAGGTCTGCATCAAATCTGCTGCTGTTGAACTCTGGAGCTTTCTCTTTGGCTGATAATCGCTGCTTCAGCATGTACTTTGGGAAACTGTTTCCTTCTTGTTGTACCAGAACAGATATGGATATGTATCACTGGTCTCAAAGGTACATCCCAGAGTCAGTGATTCTCCTGCTGCAGCAGCAACTTCTCCTCCTGTCTGCTTCACTGAGTCTCCTTTACACTCTGGGAAGAACAGAACATGCAGAGGAAGAGACGGATCAATAAAGATGATTGATTAAAGGAGAACAATCAGCAGCTTTAAAGACTCCATGTAGAGGAAACATCTTTGTATCTTACCAGAGAAAAGAGCAGCCAGAATAATCCACAGCCAATGTTCCATCTGTCCAACAAGGTTTAAATCAGCAGGAGAAAGCAGCTGATGTTCAACATTCAGTCTGACTATTGTTCTCTTCACAGCACCACTTCTTATTGACACAATGCTGGAGCACAGAGCACAAGGAGAGCGCCGCCTACTGGAGCATGGCGCCCTCTGGTGGAGAGGAGAGGTGGAGTCCAGCAGAGAGGAGACGAGGCTCCAGCTAATAATCAGATCAATTTACCTCAGATGAGCTCCATCTACTTGGTAGAAACATTTCAAAGATGGCCAGTTTTGAGCTTCACAGAAAGACGTTTGAATACTTTTTTCTTAGTTTCCAATTTAAGTAATTTTAAAAAAGATAAATACGCTGAACAAGAATATAAAGCCCCGGGTCAAATGTAAGAGTTTTATGAACACATACATAGAGAAACTCAGAGTATATTTTCAGTAATTATTGATCTTCATATTGATGACATCACGGTTCGGCCGTTTGTAGCAGCTTAACGGACCTTTGAACATGATGGAGGCTGAGGAGTCTGGTTCTGACCCAGTGGGCTTCCTGTAGGCGGTTACAGTCTGAGCTCTGATGCGTCTGTTGCTCAGACCAATAGTCTCATCGGCTGCGTGTCGCTGCTCTGAGCCCGTCCTCTGGTGGACGAGCCGATGTGGACATCTGGTGCTGGAGCATCGGAGAGGATGAGGAGGATCTGCTGTGGAGTCATTTGTTGGAAACCGGCTCTTAAGGCCGGTGGTCCGATAACGGACACTGAGCCGTGCAGCTGCTGTTCTGGTGGACGTCCCTGCATCCAACATGTCAATAACACGCTACCACATGACTTGAGACTTTATGACTGGTGACAACATTTGACCTTTTGGCCCTTTTATTGTTCAATTCAAAGATTGTCCAGCTGTTGCTCATTTTATCGGATCATCCAGTGGACATGACCCACAATGCACTGAGTAAATAACTCACTGACAGGAAGTTGGATTTAAAATTATACACAGATCAAGAGAAATATTACATTTGTAGAATGAAATGTCAGCGATGCTCATTTAGAGTTGTGACCTCCACATGTTAACAGTGTTGACATGGCTATTTATATTTCCACATTGTTATAATGTGGTAATAGAAGAAGAAATGAATTTAAGAGCTGAGTGCTCAGATGTCTGAGGGATACAAAGTCTTCCCTCAGTGCCAGTTTGGGTGACAGGAGTCTGAGAAATCATCAGTTTCTGCAGAATGCTGGTGGATAATGTGCTGCATTATCCCAGGAACCAGTTATGTCATCCTGTGGCCTGAACAACCATTGCAGTGCTGTTGATGCATCGCTTTATCATATAAAACTGAATCTCAAGATGTTAAAGGAGAAGTTGGTTCATCAAGCGACTTGGTCTTGATCCCAGCTGCGCGGTCGAAGACTTCAGGATTGCTCAAACTGATGCAGGGAGATGAAAGAGCAGAGAAAAGCTTTTCCTCATAAATGAGATTAGCATCATGACCCTCAGGTCCAGCAGCTGCTGCAGCAGATCAGTCCTCTGTAGCACATAGCAGTGAGCATGAGGACAGGTGAGCCTCTGCAGATGGAAAGACCTAAAGTTTAAATGAATTCCTTGTCAGTGACTGAACTGAAAGAATCCTCTGCATTAACTTTGTGTTTGTGTCCATCTTCTGGAGAAAATGTGGTGCATCCCCTGCAGTCCACCAGTTCGTTGGTGGCCTTGATGCTGGCTGGCGTCGACCTGCTGCACCGGTCACTCAACCCGTCCTTCACTGCTCAGGAACTGGACTCAGCTGCCACCTGGCAGCATGAACTTCACTACTGGACCACAGGATGAGAGGCTCTGCCACTGCAGCATGGGGAATCCACAGGGTTCACTGCCCTCTCCTTTCCTTTTCACACATCAGACGTCATCAAGAACTTGACATCGGCCATTGCTGGACGCGTGTCAGGAGAGGTTATCTCTATATTTGCTGCTTGGTGTGAACTGAACCTTCTGCACATCGATGTCAGCAAGACAAGGAGGTGGTGACTGATTGCAGGAGGAGGCCTTCTCAGATTGTACCAGTGAGCATCTGGGCGTACAGCCCAATAACAAACTGCTCACATAACACTGCTGTCTGGTCATCTCTACCTGCTGAGGACATTTATTGAGTTCAGGACATTAGTGAGGACTTTCTATGCTTGTGGGAGCTGGCTCAGTCTGAACTGCTGTCTGGACTCCATTGAGACTTTAGCTAAACTGAAGCAGTTATGATCGACTCTTCTCACCCTGAATGAGGCTGTGGGGCCTTCAGGCAGCAGATTGAGCCGCCAACGGTGCAGGAAAGAAAGGAACAGCAGGTCCTACATTCCAGCTGCAGTCAGTCTGCATGACATCTACAACCAGCAACGATAGATTGTTAAACAGATGCATCACTCTGTTATATTTCTACAATACTGGCGTTGTGCAGTACCATGTCTTCCTACCACACGGTGCAATATCACTTTTCTCTAACTATTTTCATCTATAGCATAGATTATATTCATATTTAGACTAAACCAGTGAAAGTGCTGTGAAGGTCTATTTTAATTCAAATGTTCATTTTTCTTGACATAAAAGAAACACTAATTTGGAAGCCTGAACAAAAAGCAAAA